CAGATAGCAGCACCATACGCTAAAGAAACACTGCATTTAGCAGATAGCAGCACCATACGCTAAAGAAACACTGCATTTAGCAGATAGCAGCACCACACATTACGATATACTTTGTTTAGTGGATAGCAGCGTCACATGCAAAGAATCGCTGCATTAAGAGGATAGCAGCACCACATGCTAACAAAACTCTGCGTTTAGCAGATAGCGCTACATGCTAAAGAAAGGCTACGGGTACAGCGCCACATGCTAAAGAAATGCTGCGTATAGCAGTAACACATGCTAAAGATACACTGTGTTTAGCGAACAGCAGCACCACGAGCTAAAGATACGCTGCATACATGTCTCCATATGCGATGCGGCATGAGCACTTACCCGAGTCGCACACCCATCATGTCAGGAAGTGCACGAAAATAATTGCTAGGCCGATATTCAGAAGCATCACGAGGGCGACCAAAATAGAGTTTGGACCCTGCAGAAGTGGAACAGGAGGGAGAAGTTCAGGAGAAATATCTGCTCAGAAAAGTCCCATGAGAAGTGGCTAGGAAATGGATCAATGATTTCTTTGTGGAACAGTAGAACCTTGAAGCTAACTCTGGTAGCCCTTTATATCTCAATGTGGCTAATGCAATGGAAGCTAACAAAGCTAAAGTGACTGCTTGCAAATGCCATTGTGGCGCCAATGGATTGGATAATTAATGCATATTTACTGGTCAAATGCTGCCCTTTCTGGAGACCCTTCTGTGCAAAGGTCATCTCTCTACGCCTGTCCCACACACTTATCTCAGCCACCCCCCCGGTACTCACCGATTCCTCCTCTGTGTTCTCGCTGGGCACATCCATGCTAGCCTTCTTGGTTTCTGCGAGACTCTTTGGCTTCAAGGACTCCTGTTTCTTCAATTTCAGCTCCACTCTGGTTTCTGGGGGCGCTGGCTTCCCAGGCACAGGCTTGGGCGTGGGCGTGTGGAAGGACCTGACGGCTGGCGGAGGCATTCTTACCAAGCTGGTTGGGCTCGTTTGGACTGGCTCCTCTTCTTCCACGGGTTCCTCTGGCGGGATCTTCACCACGGTCTTCACTCGGTAGCTGTGGTACTGTCTGAGAATCTGCCCGTTACCTGGGCTGCTCACCTGTGCTGGTTCCGTCCTCCGGGGTGGGTTTGGGGGCGGGGCTTCCAGTCTCACCTCCTTAGGTGGCGCTTTGATAATGACGGCATCCGGATTCTGGCTGGCGCTGGAGGGCTTGTTCTCTCGGATCAGCTTGCTGAGCAGGCCCCCGCCTTGGTGCTGCTTCTTCTGGCTGCCTCGGGGGGAGGGTGGAGGAGTGTGGGTGGGCGAGTGGTTGGGGGTGGTTCCTTTGCGGTAGAAATGGGGGCTATCAGAAGCCGGTTTGGCTTTCGGCTTCTCCTTGGGAACCTCTGTGATTTCTTCAGTTTCACTGTACTTCTGTTTGACATAATCAGGGCCTGAAAAGATCATGCATATCAGGAGATCATTCATAACACCTACAACATTTCCAAGCCATGATTTTAAATAATCAGCCCATAATTCATACAAATGCAATTTTTGCACCACAGACTGAAATAATTAAGCTACCAGATCTCTGAAATGAGAGGGCACAGAATACCTTGAATATTCCTCTTTCAATGCCTGACATTGTTGTGTTTGACACAAAATGGGGACCCTGACAGAACACCTATATCAGTCACTGAATCGTATGGAGTCTTTCATGTCCAGAGACATTTAGGATGTTCCCAGAACTGCCAAATGGATACCTAGTTATATGACAGTAATTTTTATCCTAATAAATGTAGAAATTGAATTGCAGCAGTGAAGGTTCACCTCTAAGTCTGTAAGCCCCACCATTGCCCTTAAGGGCCCCCAAGCTTACCTGGCTGGTGGAAGTTCGGAGAGAGTTCCTTGGCCATCGCTCTGGCAATTAAGGAGTCCTGGATGGCGGCCTGGGCAGCCTGGTCAGCGGCATCGGCCTTGGCCCTGGCGTGTGCCGTCCTGGAGGGGGAAGGGAGCCGCGGAGGTGAGCCGCCTGCACCCAAGCACTAAGCGACAAAGGGAGTCCCCACACTGGTGCAGGATGACAGCACGCATGCATGCACATAAACACACAAGCACTGAGCGACAAAGGGAGTCCCCACACTGGTGCAGTATGACAGCACGCATGCATGCACATAAACACACAAGCACTAAGCGACAAAGGGATTCCCCACACTGGTGCAGGATGACAGCACACATGCATGCACATAAACACACAAGCACTGAGCGACAAAGGCAGTCCCAACACTGGTGCAGTATGACAGCACGCATGCATGCACATAAACACACAAGCACTAAGCGACAAAGGGAGTCCCCACACTGGTGCGGTATGACAGCATGCATGCATGCACATAAACACACAAGCTCTGAGCAAATGCCACACACACATACCACAGAACACTATCACACATCACACACACAGCAACTGGTGGCCTAATGACAGACAATACTAGGAAGAACTTCCAATAAGTCCTGATTTACTATACTATACTATATTTACTATTTTATTATAATTCAAAGTAGTAATACCAATATCAGTGCATCCCAGTGGAACACCAGCCAATCCCAGTGCAATCTAGTGGAACACCAGCCAATCCTGGTCCATTCTAGTGGAACACCAGCCAATCCTGGTGCATTCTAGTGGATCCCACTGGATTATTAGCTTATTCCAATACAATATTTAATTTTGCATAGCTTTTGATGAAAAATAAATCATGCCCACTGTTACTTCCTCTTATAAGTACAACGTGAAAGGTTCACACCTATCCTGTCGTCTGCCCTTTTCTTAAAATGTTTTGCATTATTACAACAGTATTTATTAAAATGATCTTAATCAAAACTAAGCTAATTTCCAAGAGTGTATGTCTTTGATCGTATTTAAGCACCTGCTGAAATGCATTTTAATAAGGCAAATATGTACAGCACATGCACTGATATTTTGCTACTGAAACTCAAATACCGTTTTTCTTAAAAACACAAAAAACTAATGCTAATTTATTCCAGGTCCTTTGCTCTCGAAAGATGCAGAGGGTGGCATGACATTGGAGAAGGTGAGGTCCATTTAGACCTGCCAGTACCCTGGCCGGGTGGCTCTCGGTGGGACGTAGCCCGGAGTGGGAGCCCCTCCCCTCCCCTCCCTCCTCCCCCCCACCCCCCAGCCAGGCCCGCTCCTCACTGAAGAGGTGTCCAGTAAAGCACACCTCTAAAATTAGCCCGTTCTTGAATTTCATCCCTGCATATGATGTCCCCTCAAGCTCTGCATGTCTCAGAGCAGCCCCCCCCCACCCCCCACCCCCAGATGTCACTCAATGCAATAGGCTACTCCCACACACAGGCTGGCTAACTCAGTGCAGATATTTGGGTGGGAAAAAATGAGGCAGGAGTGAGACAGAGAACCATAAAAAAACTGTAATTACATAAATAATGAGTCAAGTTTTATTGTCCAGCGCTGTGGGTTCAAATCCCGCCCCTGCATGTTCTTCCTGTATTGTGTGGGTTTATTGCCCTGGTCCAAAGACATGCAGTTAGGCTCCATGTTTTCTGTAAATTTCCTGTAGTATGTATGTGGCCTGAAATCCTGTCCAGGGTGTCCCACTGATCCCTACTGTCCAGGGTGTCCCACTGATCCCTACTGTCCAGGGTGTCCCACTGATTCCTACAGTCCAGGGTATCCCACTGATTCCTACTGTCCAGGGCGTCCCACTGATTCCTACTGTCCAGGGCGTCCCACTGATTCCTACTGTCCAGGGCGTCCCACTGATTCCTACAGTC